TACTTCCAATACAAAAAAGTCTCTCATTTTGTTCTCTCTCAGGTAAACAGTTTCAAACCTATTAGGTTGCATAGTACTAAGTCATAAGCACCTTAACGAAATGTAACTTGGTATTCTTTGTTCCTTGATTTTGCTCTCTTCCCATTCTTGTTCTCAAATTTTTGTTTTGTTTTGTTTTGTTTTTAGGTTGGTTTTTTGTTCTGTTCTGCTTTGTTGCAAAACTGGTACAGAAAAAGAAGTGTGACCACCTGCACACCATTGTTCCCTTACCAGTATGTGTGTGCATGTGTCGTGTGGAAATGCCTCCGTGTGTGTGTGTGTGTGTGTGTCTGTGTGTGTGTGCGTGTGCGCACGGGCTGATATACACAGAGAGAGGGTCACACAGACATACCTTACGACCTGGGTAACTGGGTGGGAAAGCGCCTGTAATTGGCTCTTTCAAACTCATGGCTTTCTAGATGCTATTTGGGTTGTGCCAGCCCACGTTATTGCAGACTAGACAAGTCGACTTCGAGGCTCACACTGAAAAGGGGAATGAAAAGGAGGGGACAATACTCCCGTGTAAGCGACTGATGTCATCACCTTGATATCAGAAGAAATGAAGGGGGTGCTGTTCTCCCTCTCCCTCCCAATTCCCGTCTTGTTCACTGCTTCATCTCTGAGCCCTGGCTAAGGAATTTTTCCACATCTTCCTTCATCTGTTTCAGGTTTTGTTTTTAGTTTATTTTTTTTAATTTCTATTTTTTTTTTTTTTCTGCTTGTTTAACTCAGAAACCTTAAACATTTCTTCATTTTGCCACTGTCTTCTCTGGACAACTCTGGCTCCCGTCCCCCCTGGGCGGGGCGCTCTATGAGCACCCACACTCCTCCACTATCATGTTCTGAATGTCCTTCTTGATAATGTTCTGCCCATCATCATAGTACAGCATGGACATGGGTCTCAGCTTGGTGGGCACACAGCACGACTTGAGGTTGGCGAAGGGGCTGTGCCCCCGCATGCGGTAGTGGTTGATGACCGTCGAGTGAAAGGAGAGCGAGGACCCCGACGTGCCTGCTATGTGGCTTGGGCACTCACCCTCGCAGTAGTTGGCGTGATAGCCGGAGGGAGCGATGATCCAGTCATTCCAGCCAATGTCCTTGAAACTGACAAAGAACTGTTTCTTACAGCAGATGTTGACCTTGCCGTCGCACTCCAAGCCCCGCCGCCGCCGCCGATGGGGGTGGTCTTCAGACTGGCGGGCCTGCAGCATGAGGAAAGGTCTGTGGGACTGCTCCTTGTCCTCCTCTCCCCCTGCCCCTCCGTCTCCTCCGTCCTTCTTCTTCCCTTCCCCCTCCTCCTCCTTCTTCTTCTTCTTGCCCAGGAGCACCAGGCTGGCGCCCGTCTCGTGGCACTGCTCACAGGCAATCCGAACGTCCAGGGAGCTCTTGCCCTGGTCCAGCAACCGCTGGATGCTGCTGGACACCGGGAAGATGTGCCAGGTGCTCTTGCTCGCGTCCACCACCTTTTCCGATATCAACACCTCGTTCCTCTCCTTCGTGAAGCCCCTCTCCTCGGCCTCCTCCCCTGCGTCCACGTTGCCCTGGGGGTGCTTCTGCAAGAGCTGGATGGTGACTTTGGTCCTGGTCCTGTTGGCCTTGGGGACTTTGAGGAAGAGCCAGACTTCGGCCCGCTCCACCACCGACAGGTCACTGCCTTCTTTGGAAATCTCAAAGTGCAGCGTTTTCCTGGTGGTGCCTGCGGACGAAACACAGCACAAGAGAGAGAGCAGGGACACTTGTTAGTTGTGCCGGGGGTCACCACCCACTCGTTTCAGGCACGCGGGCGCCTCTGCCGCGGGCCATCTGCAGCAGGGGTCACGAGTTACCGCCCACGGGAGGGCAAGGCAGTGTGGACATTTTTAAATGGTCGAGGAAAAAGAGTATTTTTGTGACATGTGAAAATTATAGGAAATTTACACTTCAGTGCCCATAAATGAAGTTTTATGGGACAACAGTTATGCTCATTTCTTTCTAGGTCATCTATGGCTACTTTTGCATTAGATCATGGAGTTGGACAGCCACGACAGAGACAGGCCCACAAAGCTTAAAATGTTTGCTCTCTGGCCCTTTCCGGAGAAAATCTGTCCAGCTCCTGGCTCTAAAAAGAAGAGAGCCTAGATCTCAGTCAGTGTCTGGGAGCCTGGGGTGGGGGGCGGGGCGGGGGGGGCAGGTGTCTGTGTCTGTTCACTGCTTAACCTCAGTTTCATCTTCTATAAAATGGGAATGGCATAATGACATTGGACCCACTCGACCACAGGCTTGGCCTAAACCGGATGAAAACCCACTGTGAGCTCTAGCAAGTTGTGGAAGTGGCGCTATTCCCACAGAAATACACAGACACTCCCCTCCCCCATGTAAGTACGTGGGGTCAGTGCCCACCGAGCTAGCCTCCTCCTCCCTGGCCACGACCTGCCCCACCCCTCCATCCTTTCTTTCCTAGGTCGCTGCAACAGCCTTTTCTTGCATTTGGCTCTCCAGCATGGAGCCAGGCCCCTCTCCAATCATTGCTCTACTAAGCAGGTTTAAAACAGAAACGAGCCAGCCTCCACAGCTTCGCCTTCAACCCCAGCTCTCTCCCAGTGCCCCGTGCTCTGTGGTGCAGCCACATTGTGTTTGTTCGAGGTCAGGTGCATCCCATACACTCTCTCACCGCCAGGCGGTGACCCCGGCCGAGAATATTCCTGCTCCCAACACATCACCCTCAGTGGCTGCCCTTGATAAGGGTTCAGTTCCTGACCCCCCTGGCCCCCCCACCCCCGTCAGTCTGATTTCGGATGCCCCCAGTCTGAGATCCCATCTATCTCATTCACTGTCATGGCCCAGTGTTTACCAGGAACGAGGCAATCACATCTTTAGCATCCAGTGAAGTTACATTAAGCGACCCACTTCCCACTGCTGCATCCCCCGTTTTTGCCTCCTTCCCTTCCGAATGCAGCTTAATGAGCCCCAATTACAGCGACTGCTACTAACGGAAAGGAAATCCCCACACTGGCGAGACAGTTGGCTTCAGAGACCATTCAGTTCTTGCCTAACTTAAACTGCTCCCTTCTCTTTTTCCATAAGCTCCTGTATGTCTACACACGCAGCAACGTTTACTGTAAGGAGCAGGTGTCCGGACTGGAATTCTCAGATTGAGGAAACATCTTCCCTCGGTGGCACTTTCACCACTCGGTGGTCTATGAAACATGTCCTCTTTGCCCAACCGCCTCCTGCACACGTGTACCCGCTTACGACTGTCCGGTGTGCACGCATCCCGTACACAAATCTGAGAACAATGTTAGGGAAGGTCATCTTAGAACTCGCAACTCCCTAGGAGGGTCTCCCTGCCTGGATTTCTATAGCGAACGGAAATCCAGCCATACTTATCACTCTCAGCCCTGAGATGTTTACGGTACTATAAATTTTCGGCACAGTTTCAAGTTCTCTGCAGCAGAAGGCAGGCTTTTCTGTGCATTGCACACTGTAGATTCTGTTCTTAATTTAACACACTCTGCACACTGTGATTCTGATAGTGGTAAATTCACTGAGGCCAGGGCTAGGAAAGGCTACATATGTATACAAAAGATTCTCTGGCATCTTGGTATAAACTTGCTAGCACGCTGGGCTGGGCTCGGTGGTGGTGGTGGTGTGGGGGGTGGGGTGGGGTCCTTTTCCTCCAGCCTTGGGTCTCCAGCAGGAGTTAAAATGAATGATAAAGCTAGGTTTAGAATTAGATCACCAGAGTAGAGAGCAGTTAGAAGAAGGGGAGACTGTCTTTTTTTAGGGAGCATGATTTCTTTTCAAAACGTGAATGCAGTATTCCCCTTTGCTAAAACCTGGTGGGTTTTCTGTTGCTGGTTTTTTTTGGCGGGGGGGTGGTGGTGGAGGTGGGAAGCAAAAGAGAAGATTCCAGGAAGGAGAGCTTAATGATCTAAATTTAAAAAGACACTCTGCAGCAGATCTGAAGCGGTAGGGTCCTTCCCGAAGCTACCAAGCCCCCCGGACGAGTGTGCAGGCGCCTCCTGCCCTGCCCCGGGGAGAACAGTAACAAGCTACCGGCTGTTCTCCCTTCTGCCTCTACGCAGGCCAGCTTCTGAAACCTTAAACTGTGCAGGATGCCACTGTAAAGACAGAGAGATAGTAGCTGCTAAATTAGAGAAGCCAGAGGGCACAAGGTTGTGTTTTGTTTCTCTAGGAAAGTGTGTGAAACTGGAGAATCTGACTCGTCCTCAGGATGGGAAAGCTCTCTGGGTTTCAGGTAACTCATTCCCACAGGCTCCTCTCGGCTTTTACCCAGGCTTGGCAGGAGGGGCCGGGGTGAAGGCAGACGGTCCTCGGGTAAAGAGAGGGTCCGGAGGGCAGTGCGGACCAGCCCACGTCGGACTTTCCATGAAGAGAGTCCAGAGCAGTCTACAGATGCTGGGGGTGGGGGCGGGAGTCAGGGTGGGCTAACTGGCCGACTTGACACAAGGAGCGAGAGACAGCACATGCAAATTGCTTTTGTAGGGCCAAGGGGGCTGAGGCCCCTTGCTTCCAGCAACAGCCTACAGGACAGCCCCTCATTCCACAAGAGCAGGTTTCTAAGGCATGATAAAGCCCCACCCTTCTTCACAGGCAGCTGTACTTGGAAGCAAATGATTTAGTGTTCCTGAGAGAGGATCGTACAAAGAGAGTACTCATTAGAGGGGGCTCAATCTGTCAGGTGCTGTTATATTAGGATCAGAGAGGCATCATAAAATGACTTTCAACCTGGTCCTGGCTGATAATTAACTGTATGGCATCGCTGGCGTATTGTGGAGAAGGCACAGCGCTGACTTATGCATCGGTTTAATTATCTGAGCTTGAAACACTCTTGTCCCTGTATTCGCATCCATTGCCTGCGTGCTGTATCTCTCCCCCATATTTCTGACATTTGGATTTTCCCCCTGCTAATTGACATGCTGTCGCCTCCTTCTCCTGGTGTCCATTTCTGGAACTGCTATTTGTATATTGCATGATATTTTATCAGGGGAAAAAAAATAAAACAGATCCAATTTCATGAAAATGCTGTTGCCATAATGCTCAGGAGACCAGGGGGAAGAGAGAGATGCAAGTCTTCCTAATGTCTACCTTATATGCAGGTACATTTTAAAAGTTCTATTGTATTTGACTTATTAAGCAGTGCAATATTTTTTTTTCCTTTTACATTTAGCTTTCATTGCAGAAGGGGGTGGAGAGAATGAGACAGCTAGAAGCTGAGATGATTAATATTTATCAGGGCTGTAGGTTTCAGAAAGATATTACAACCCTCAAATTTCTTAGGCATGAAAAATAGAACGAGTCACTTGATTCTATTCCCTTTATCTGTATTTTACCTAAGAGAGATTGTTATACCACAGCGATGCTGTGAGGATGCTCCAGCCTTCAAATCTCTGCGCATAACAATTTGAAAAATGGAAGGAGGTTGCCTGAAGCTGAGGTGTTTAGGATCAATTACTAATCAGTTTCAGGTTAGACTTAACTAGCTCCTGCATCAAATCCTGAAATGGAAGCCTTCCCACAATGCTTTGTGAGCAGGTACAGTACTTTACACAGGTGTGCACTGGGTTCCTGCATTATTACCTATCTACCTAGATATAGCTATTGGCTTTGCTAACCTTTCATTACCTACTCTCTGATAATATTCTTTTCATCCTCTGTGCTATTTTTTCCCTCCCGAGGCTCGTGAGCAAGGCTTGTATCACAGCCTGCTCTGCCTGAGTAATTCACTAAGAAAGTCCCACGCAAGCCCATGTGGGTGATAATATTTCATCACTTAAACCTCTATGAGCCCGGTGGACACAAAATCAAGGGGAGAGAGAAAGATGCATAAAAATGAGTAGGAGGGATAAAAATGGCCCCTTACAGGGAAGACCTTTGAAACGTTGCCGGGCAGGGGGGGCTTGGAAAGAGGGAAGATCGGAAGCTGGAAGGAAGAATACCCCAAAGCACCTTTTTCCTTTGCTCTTAGAATTTTTCAAATTTTTTAATAACTCAATCACGAAAGCAGGCCTGCCAAGAGTTAAGCAACCAAGCCCCTTGCTGTTCCCATCCCCCACACCAGGACTCAAAATTCTGCTCTTCTTCAAGCCCTGCACCTCAGATCTGTGGGCGTATGAACATTTCCAACAAAATAAGCAACACACACACACAAACACACACGCAGTGTTTCGTTTGTGTTCCGTTTTGTTTTCCTCACCAGGGTCCTGCCTAAAGCATGCCCTTGTACATACGGGTAATAATTATGTCTCTAATGTGAATGTGGAAGATCTTGTTGTTTATAGAGGATTTTTAACTCGCCATGGGGGAAAAGCCTTGTGGTAAAATGCGGCTGTTACTTGAATTTTCCATTCTGCACCCAGATTCCACTGTGCCTAGATTTGGTGCGGTCAATGGTAGGAGCATGCAGGGTGACCAGGTATGCAGGTGTGTTCTCTGAAGCACTAACTTTGCATTTGAACTGTTTCCCGGGGTTTCTGCAGAAGGCATCAGGTGAGATCTTAGAGGTTATGCCTCCCTTCACCTGCAGCCCAGGGTTTTGCCTGCAGCAGGCAGAACTACAAGTCTGGTCATAAATTATCTGGACTGATTTTGTTAGCCTTCATATTTTTTTTCTTAGGATCTGCTATTGAATTTTAAATGCTCGGCCACATTCGGGTGTCTTCCATGTCAATGATGGTGAAATCGAGAGAGAGAGAGAGAGAGAGAGAGAGATCAAGGACTTAGTTTCCGAAAAGAAGTAGAAAAAATTCTTAAGATTCAACGCACAGAAATTTCAGAGACTTCTTCCAAAGTTCCTGAGAACTTTTGCACTTTTGATTTTGGATCTAGGAACCAGTGGAGTATGAGGAATTCTGATCTACAGCTCATGCTCGAGTATATTGTAGCCGAAGAGGGGCCAAGACAAATACGTGTTTTCCCTAAAAGTGCCTGGGAAGGTATGACTCCCAGTTCTCCAAATTCGAAAGCGGACTTTCTGCCCTCTGAGGGTCCCCCCACCCCAACTCTGACCCACCTACATCACAGGCCCAAACCACCAGGCATCTCGCTCCTTGTCTCTCCTCCCCCATTTGGCTCCACACTCAGCTCGGAGACAAACGCCAGCTCCGAAGCTGTACCCAATTTTTCACAAGGCGGCCAGCAAACGGCCCTTTCCTCCCTGTTGGAAGTCACTTGTCATTTGTCGCTGGTGAAAAGCATTGATAAGACAGGCAAACCAGGCAACGAAATGAGGGGAGATGGAAGGCATTTTGGTAAAAGCCAGGCAGCCAGCCGTCTTAGGGAGAGATGTGTGAGCAGATCAGTGCTGCTGATGATTCATGGTCACATTTCTCCACGCTCTGCTTTGTTTGCTTCTGAAATTTATCATTCCTCTGTCTTCCATAGAGCTCCGGAATGTACACATGTATCACTAGAATCCCCATTTCCTTTCCTCTGTCACATTTACTGTGTCACAGGTAGTCATGTTTCTCCCATCCCATAAAATCCTAACTTTTTCTGGAGGATAAGAGGAAGCAGGGGGCAACTGATAAGCACCAAGATTTGGACGCTACAGAATGGGGTTTCCAGGAGCTGAAAATGCCTTTCCCTAGATTAACCGCTAAGGAGCAAAAGTCTTTGGAATGCGCCCTCTTGTGGCCGACCGCTTCGCATTATTCAGAGAAGAAAGTGTGTAACCCCTAAAAGCACCCTTCAGGGAGGGGAAATTGCCAGGAAAGTTCCTTGGGCTGGCATGGAATCGGTGGGAGTCACCTCCACCTTGAGATGGCTTTCTTGGGCTGGGGGGAAAACAGTCATCCAAGCAAGCCTTCTTAGACCCCTGCTTGGGAAGTCTATATCTCTAATTCAACTCTTCTGTAACCGGAATCCTCCAAGAGGGGGAGATTTATGTGTTACTTTCAACAAGACCTGGGCTTTAGTGAGCAATTTCCCATTTCCTGGAGCTTCATTTGTCTTTCTGCCCCCATCTGTTCTTCCACAAGTGCTATCGATTGCTAAGTTGATGACGATAATTGGCATATACATCTGGCTGCATATGAAGACTCAGTGATATGTTGTTATTGTACACTGACCAGATATTGTCACGGATCACAGCAAGATAAAATAAGATAGAACCATCAAGAGGACCGCTGGTTGCAGCTCCACTGACAATTACAGAGACCTGACTTGACCCTCCCCATCTAGCCCTTCTTTTCCTTTAAGGTCTTAAGGTAGCATTCTGTACCAGCTGTCCGGCTGTAATCTTGGTGAGCAATCTTGGGTGACATGCATTAAAAAGCATAATTTTTATTTGTTGGGAGAAGTTTCAGAAGGCCCGAGCGCTATTCCTCACCACTTAGTTAATAACAACTCGTATCAGCTTTACAAAGATGGGGCACCTTCCGCCTGAGCCCAAATGGGACAAACTCAGTTCTGAGAGTTCTAGACACTTGAACTTTTTGTAGTCCCTCAGCTGCTGGGCCACAGCATGGGCTTTATTTAACCGTCAAGAAGGGTCGAGGCAAAAATTAAACATGAATCCCCCCAACTGGGGAATCTTAAGTTTGAAAGATGCATCTATGTCGATGCATCTGTGGCATGGCACTCGGTGACAGTGACTCACTGGATTCCATGTGGTACAAAATAGTTTGGGGAGGAAAGAAAGATGAATACCCTCCGCTCTTCTCCAAATTCTTACATTTGACATAGTTTGAATATTATTAAGGTTGGGTTATTCCAAAAGCAACAAGACATTTTTGTATATTCAGAGGATAAAGCTCTTTCCTGGTTGGCAAAATCAGCTACAAAATACTCATCTGGTACTCCACTTGGAAAGTAGATTGTCCAGATAGCAATCATTAATTCCGCGGAATCATAGTAAATCAACTCAAAGTTGAAGTGTGAAACTTCTCAGAGGAGAAAAATAAGTAAGTGTGTCATAAACCTTTTCTGTGACTCCAGCAGCTCACCCAAAGTCAAGTTGTAAACTCAACCAGGAGGAGTTTTCCATTACAAACCTTAAACTGGAGTCAACGTGTGAGTCAAATGAATCACCTTTTAAAAAAGTCACTCAATTTCTTTTAAACTAAACACCTAACAGAAAAGTAAAAAAAAAAAATGACAAGATTTCATATAAATGAGAAAAAGACGGCCACTAAGATGAAGGCCATAAGTAAGAAAGAATGTGAAAGGTCAAATTCTTTCACTGCAAAACCTCTCAATGCCAAGAGCGTGATTTGCTAGACAAGTCAGCTAGGTCAGGAAGAGAGGCTGTTGCTTACATCAGGTGTATATTAAAAGTGGTCACAGACATAGGTATACTTAGTCATCGGACGCGGATAAGGCCAATTGAGTAGGACCTGCAATTAAAGCCATCATGTGTGGTAACTGGTATATAAAAACCTATACAGGGTCCCTTTGTCTGCACAGGGAGCAGACAGACCTCTAGACCACCGGAACCCACTCGCCTCCCCTGGACTCAATGTTAGCAAGCACTTTCTTTCCTACGTTGCCATCAGGAAAGGCGAGTGGCCAGGTGAAACCGCCAACCTGACTTTGTTTGCTCAAGAAGCTTCAAAAGATAAAGTCATAATGATCATGTCCTTTGGGGGCTGCGTCAAGAAAGAGCTTAGAGGAAGAAAGACCTTCTTTGAAAAGAAGCTTCTGGGGTGAGAGAGAGAGAGGGAGACACTGTCCTGCCGGCAAGCTTGTAGGACATCAGGGCTTCTCTCACCAGGGAAGCCAGGAAGCCAGCAGGCTATCTGCTCCCCCAAAAGGATGCCCAGGTCTGGCATGGTTTTCTTGAAAACAGAACATCTGAGTCAACAGGTTTTCAGGATTGGAAATTCTGAGTGTTGCCTTAATTGTTTATACTGCTGCAGCAAACTTTTAAACAGAAATGCTGGGAGTCCCTGCACGTACTTCACTGGCCATATGCTCCACCAAACAAAACAATGGCATTCCTTTCAAATGGATCTGGCAAGGGATACAATTCTTTAGGCTGGCATTACCATGAAAGTAACAGGGCATTAACACATCTGTGTGCCGGGGGCGTGCATGGGCTTGCAGCATGCGAAGGGTCTGTGTCCCATAACTGTAAAAATAACCTGGCTCCGGGTCTATG